ATATAAAATTGTATCAAAAGTTAAATTCAATGATGAAGATGAGCAATAAAGAATGCATTATAAGTATGTACTCTATCAACTTTGTGCAATTTAGTTGCTAAACTTTGTTTGTATGTTATTAATTGATTTAATGTAGTTGCTTTTCCTTTATATGTTATTGAAATACTATCAACAAACATTGCGTTGGGTGAAGCAGTTCTCCAAATGTAACGACAATCTTCAGTTGAATTATCCAGAATTTGTTGCCATTCTTCAGCTAAAATATTTGGTGTTGCCACCAACCAATCCATGTGATCAAGTAAAATGAATCTAGGGTGTGGGTGTGGGTATGGGTGTGGGGTGTGGGTGTGAAGGATGAAGAATCTTGCACCACCCTGACCCACATCCACTCCCACACCCACACCTATACATGTTTTAAACTTGCCATTGCGCCAATTGCTTTGTTGATTCTTCTTTTTATTTCTCTTGAACAGTCGTTATCCCAGGATAGTAAACTACCCAGATATCCAAACTCCTCCACGTTTTCGATATTTTTACCTTTTATATTTATGTGTTTGTCAATGTTTTTATCACCGAACACCATTGTTTTTGTTTTGTTTGTGTTTACCACCAGCTCGGCTTCTTCTGCTATTTTTGTGAGTTGGTCAATTTGTTCTTGAAGTGCGATATGATTCTCACTTAAGAGATCAATGTCGTCCGCAAATCTTAAATTGTTGACAAATGTTCCACTGACATTGATTCCATTGTTTTTTTATGTTACTTTGTCCATTATTCTTTCTAAATATGCAATGAAAAGAAGTGATGACAAGGGATCACCTTGTCTAGTTCCAACACTTGCTTGGAACCATTCGCCAATATTTATGCCTATTCGGACTACCGTTCGAGATTTTCCATAAATTTTTTCTAGTAACGCGACCACTTTTTTGTCAACACCATACGATCTAAGAACAGCCCATATGATTTTGTGTTTGATTGTATCGAAAGCTTTTTGGAAATCGATAAAACAGTTGTAAATTTTCTTACCGTTGCGTTTTGCTTTTTCTGCTAGAAGCCGTAGTATCAAAATTTGGTGGACTGTGCTTCGGTCTTTTCTGAATCCAGCCTGTTCTTCTGATAAATGTGGATCCAGTTGATGCTTCAGTCTGTTTAGCAGCACCATTAGCAGAACTTTTCCCGTGTGATTGATTACAGATATTGTTCTGTAATTCGAGCATTCGCTGAGGTCTCCTTTCTTGAATATTGGTATCAAGATTGATCTTCCCCATGCATCTGGAATTGTTTCCTCTTTCCATGCTCTATTACATAGTTCGTGAATTTTATGTATGAGTTGTTCTCCTCCAGCTTGAAGCATTTCCGCTGTGATCTCGTCAGTTTCTGGGCTTTTGTTTTTCTTGAGTTTGCTTATTGCATCTTCAATTTCAACAAGTAGTATACCATTTGGAATATTATCGTAGGGAGGAGTTATATTTTCAAGCTCTTTTATCATTTTTTCTCCACCAACTTTGCCTTCACACAGTTCACTGCAGTACTGTGTTCACCTTTGCATTATGCCTGCTTTTGATTGTGATATTATGCCATCTTGATTTCTTATGATTGTTAATTTTGGTAGGTATTTCTTTTTTAACAGTTTTACCAAATTGTATGCTTGCTTGCTATTGTATCCATTTGTCCTTGTCTTGCCTTGCTGATTTTTTCACCATGTTGCAAAGATTTTTGTACTTTTTGTTGAGTTCCGGAGAGAGATGCTTTACTTGTTTTGCTTTTCTTTTTTCACCAGCTAAATTCAACGTTTGAGTAGAAATTCAGGGTTTCTTTGCTACTTTTTAAGTAGTTATACTAGCCTGTAATGCTTCTTTTATTGCTTTTCCAATTTGTGATGCATGTTCATCTAGAGTGCCGTTGGTGTGAATGTTGTTTAAGTTGTTTTCCAGTTTCTTCTGGTACGATTTTCTTGTTGTTTGATCGTTTAGCTGGTTCGTGTCGAATCGGTAATTGTGTTTTGGTTTGGTGTGTAGGTTTTTCAATCTTAGTTTGATATTGCATAAAACTAAGGAGTGGTCGGAGCAGATGTCAGCTCCTTGAAACGTTCTACAGTTGATGACGGATGCCTTCCAGCGTTTTTGCACGATGATCAGATCAATCATGTTCTTGTTGAGGCCGTCCGGTGGTTCCCATGTCCATTTTCGACTTAATTTTTGCTGAAACATTGTGTTACAAATGAATAAGTTATGTAATGTTGCAAACTCTAATAAATATTCACCACGTTCGTTTCTTGTTTCATAACCATATCTACCCATGGCGGATTTCCACCCTGTGTTGTCATCACCTACATTTGCATTCCAATCGCCAATTATGATAAGTATATCTTTTTTAGGAATTTTTACCATGGCCTGTTCCAAGTCGCTGTAGAACGCTTCAATGTCGTTCTCCGATGCATCAGATGTTGGGGCGTATACATTAATTATTGTTATATTGAATGGTGTTGCTCTAAATCTTGCCATGATTAATCTTGAATTGATAAGATTGTAGCCCCAAAGTGACTTTCGAGCTCTTGTGCTGAGTAACATGCCAACTCCCTCAGTGTGTGTGTTGTTTTCTCCAGACCAAATGAAATCACCGTTCGATGTTTCACCTTTTCCTGTCCAACGTACTTCTGAAATACCGATGACATCGGATCTGTAGCGCTTCACTTCATTTCTTAGCAGTTCCAGTCTGCCAGTTGCCCATAATGTTCGAACATTCCATGTACCAACAGTAAAAATGTCTTTTGTCATCTTCAGTCTTTCTGAGTCACATTTGGTCGTTGCTGCTGTAATTTGTGTTTGTCTTGGAGTTCCATTTGTCGTCGTTGATGGTGCTGTTGTTGTTCTATGAATGGTTGTTCCAGTAACCAATTTTTTGACTCTGTCCTGGTTCCACGACAGAGGACGCGGACCTTGTTCACCAGGGCGACGTCCGAGCCGGTATGATTTTTGATATCTTTCGTTCATGATTGGTTTCTTTCGTCTTTTTTCTTTTACAGACGGTGGTATCTGCACTCCTTCCGTCTAACGCTCCTCCTTTTTCCGGACTTGCGACCGGCACAAAGATCACTGGATTGTGGTCTCCATGGTGGAGTTCCAAATGTTCTTACATTTTTCAATAGCATCATCTCGTAAAAAGGCTTTTATTGAACCTATTTACACATAAAAATACTTTATCGTTTATTAAGATGATTAATTTCTGATGGTGATGTACTTGCTCATGAAATAAGCTGCCATAAATCAATCTGATATTTTTCAAGAATTCTAATGAGTGTTGTAGCAGTTCGGTATTCAAATGCTATTGACTCTACTCTTCTTGCTGAATCTTAATAAAAATACAGTATCAGAGAACAAGACAGTTTGCCTAATCTAAGAGAACTTCTTACTCACCTCACAATGGCATAAAGCAGTGTAACTAGGCAGTTTCAAGACATCTGAAAGAGAATCTTATTATAAAAAAAAAAACGAAGTTGTCATGGATCAATGAATGATGCCAATATCTAGTTCTCAACGATTTACAACACTTATCTTAGTACTGAGATATACTATTTTAATGTGGAAGCCATGTATAAGGGTCATTATTAATCAAATGAAACTTATTTCTAATCCAAGATAGCAGTTAGTGTTGTTTTATTGAATTTCAATAACGATTTATATGTTGAATGAACTTTTTTTCTCTAATATAAATCAATAAAGTTTTTCGAAATTAGTTTTTCTCGCTACACATCACCAATTGTTCCTTTCATATGCAAAT